CTAACTGGCTACTTTTCTTGTCCAACAATACCACCTCCTTCTCTTTGCTATACAAGAACTGTGCTGGAAAAGCCTACATGCGTAATGTCTCCCTCAGGACAAGGGGGCCGAGCAGAGGCCCCTCAGGAGCAAACCTAACACTCCCACAGCTTTCACCTTCAGAGCTCTGGACTCTAGGGTAGGCCCACAAACAGAATAAGAACTAGAGGAAGCAGTAAAGGTAGCAAGAACACACACAGAAAAACATAGGCCAATCCTTTACAACCAAAGAACTTTAGACTTCCAGGATAACTGGAAGGGCACAAGCTATTTCCCTAGGAACATTCTTACTACTCAAAACATCCTGGAACCAAGTAGTAACCAAGGAAAAGCCAAAAGTCAGAGAGAATTCAACAGGACAATAACCGACCCCTCTGTGAAAGTTTCTCAGACATGTTCAGAGAAGGGAAAACTTCTCCCAGCCCATCGAATAAACCTAAGTTGCTGTGGTCTTCCTCTTTATTTATTTTTGAAGTTATTAATAGTCAATTTTACCTTTATTGTTACTGTTTAACCATTCAGTCTTCCAATGTAGGCCTGTACATGTCAGGACAGCCACCTTTGTCTGGAAGGGCCCAGAAGGCAGGAACACATCAGTCTGATTTACTCTCAAGAGCATCAGCCCGTGGCAGTACTAGGAGTGTACGTCTTCACAGTTCCCGGTATGGGAATACTCAGAATGACCTAGGGGAAGTCTTGATTCAAGACCTAAAGCGTCTTATGGAGCCTCCCTGCACTGTGTAGGGCAGTGGTGTACTCAGGATTACAATCAGAACCAAAATGAAGCTGTTTTGAGCTGACTTTTCCGGCTCACTAATTGGACCTGCTAAAGCCCGGTCCCTTCTCACTACAGAATCCATCAGACAAACAGAGGCAAAACTTACTCCGGATCACAATTACACTGTAGTGTGTGTCCTTCTCCAGAATCTCAACTTTGAAGCAGGTTTTTGTGCTGTACAGACCCACATTAACATAGGTGTCATTCAGCTTCTCTTTCAAAAAAGAGGAAAAAAAGTTCCAGACACTGAACTGCTCCAGCTCCTTCAGTTTCTCCTCACTCTCCACCTGGGTGACTCGTACCAATTTGGAACTATTTACTCGGATCTGTAAAACAAGTAAAACTGGGATGAGAAAGAAGGAAGTAGGAATTCTAAATTTCCACAAATATAATCTTTAAAAAAATTAATCTTAGAGTAAATAGTTAAATCAGTGTTAGTGCCAGTCTACCACAAGGCTTAACAGAAATACAGAAATGTAGTGGCTAAAAGGTAATTGGGCACAAATAACACTGCACCTGGCACAGAGAGGCAGGTGTTAGGCTGTCTTGTTAACATGAGCTGAATCTACTATTAGACCAGAGCATAGCCAACAACAGCAAAGAAAAGACTTCCCAGCTGAAAGAATTATCAATACAGTATTTATGAGAAATCAGACAAAGCAAGGCTCTAGAATTGGAAGAAAATTGCCAGGCATAACAGTCCCAGAAAACTGAAAATGTTTCCCGCAATGACAGGCTGAGAAGCTCAACCCATTGTCACCAATTACTGATTATGGGTAAATGCTGGTTATAATGTGCCCCAGATGGAGTATGATTTTTATATCAGACAATACAAAAGAAAAAGAAAAAAAAAGTTCATGTATTCTTGATGTGAACAACAAATGTTTTATCAGTAGCCATGCTCATAGCAGCAGCAACAGTTCCAAAAGGACTCATTTTGTTCAATCACTACTAGAGCCAGACACGCCTGCTGGCCAGGTGACTTAACAGTGTTATGAAATAAATGAGATCAAAGTCATTCTATTGAGAGATGACTTCAGCTCGGGGGGTTTATGAAACATCTTGTGTAGAATCTAAATAGACAAGGAACAGAGTCAAAGGAGTTTACATCCTGGTAGGCACTCAACAGTTTCCAGCCCAAAGAAGGTATAAGACCTTGAAAGAGAAGAGAGAGGGTATGTTGTGTTGGAAAAAGTCAAGCAGGGAGGAAAGAGAGCAGCTTCCTAGGGAAAAGGAGAAGTTTACCACAGAGTCTGCTTAGAAATTCAGAAGACTGTAAGTACTTCAGGGAGCAGAACCAGAACACAAAGTAGACACAAGTGCTTATTGACGAAAACACACTCCAGGACGATCTCAACCCCAACAAAGATGTTGTTGTTGTTGTTGTTGTTGTTTGCCGTTGAGTCGGCCGCCTGCCTTCTGGTTAGCAGTCAAGTGCCTTAGCCACTATGCTACCAGAGCTCCCCAACAAAGATGTTAGCAACATGTTTTTTATTATGTGTGAAGGAGAAAAACGTGTCAACATACTAACTAATCACAGACAGACAGTCACAGAAACTGCTCCTGCCAGTGCCTCGAGGCCCTTACCTGTATCCGTGTCCATATATCATGCCACTTTGGGACAAGCACGTTTTTATAACAGAACTGTTGGCTGGTACTATAATAAACTTTGGATTCCTGAAGCATGACCATATGTATACCAGTTCCAGCTTTATGCAAAGAAAGGAAACAAGAATTAAGTGTAACATAGCATAGCAAGCTAAGAACTATCATTCATTTCATAAAAAGAAATAAACTAACCACTTTTTTTAAAGGCCATATTCCAACTTAGGAGTTGAAATGTTAGCTGAACTAAGAAATAAGAAGGAAACTAAGATGAGAGAAGAGAAGGAATAAGGCAGAGTCTTATGTCTGCCAAATTTAATTAACTAAATATTATACTCATTAACCCAGAATAGGTAATAATAAATGCTATTGTTTATTTTGACAGCCAGTCTGCTGAGTACCTTGCATTTGACTTCTCATTTAATACTGCCAACAATCTTGTGAGGCAGGCACTCTCATAAGCCCTATTTTACAAATGAGGAAACTAACTGTAAAAAGATTAAGTGATTTGCCCAAAATTGCACAGCTAGGAAGTAATTTAACTGAGACTGTGGTTTTAACCATTATATACTTTGCCTCCCTTTTAAAAAACAAAACCACTATCATCGAGTCAATTCTGATTCATAGTAACCCCCATTGGGTTTCTGAGGTAATCAGTCTTTATGGAAATAGATTGCCCAGCCTTCCTTCTGCAGAGTGGCTGGTAGGTTTGAACCTCCAGCTTTCTGGTGAGCTGTCAGATGCCTTAGGAACTGTGCCACCAGAGCTCCTTGCCTCTCTTTTAAGACAGAGCTAAATATTAAGTCCATCTGTTGATTTTCTCCATCCCCTTCTAGGTGGGACTAACCGAGTTGGCATAGTTTTGGTATATATAGTACTTTGAAAGACTTCAAAAACATTGCAAAGTGGCTTTTTTCCAGCTATTTTGTTTCATTTCAAATTTTAAGAGTAACCAATGATTATATACAATCTCTTTGTTCTTAACAAAACAGACTATTCTCCCCACAGAAGTCTCTATTCAATGTCAGTTAATTTAAGGTTTCAAAGTGACCGCTCTTCTGAACCTTCCCACCCAAGTTTGCCCAAGCCACTTTCTTTATCCCAAAACGTTTAAATAACTTCTTCCTTGAGTTCTATATCATGCTCAGCAACTTAAGTGCTACTGTTAATGGGAAATTTAGTTACCACTCTGGTTCTGAGTTTAAAGATGGGTGGATCTAAACAAACTAAATAAAATCAAAACAAACTTCAACCAATTTTCAGAAAGTCAAAACTACATAATGGCACTGATACCCACCAGTGAAAATGGTTTTAGGGTGAATGTGATAGTTGTGTGTCAGCTTGGCTGGGCCATCATTCTCAGTGGTTTAGCAGTTACAATGTTGTGATGAGATCTGACAGAATGTAATCACCTCCATGATGAGATGTGCTATATAAGCAGCCAATTAGCTAAAAGGGAGTTTCCTCAAGAAGGTGGCCTGCTTCCAATACACACACGCACACGCACACACACACACACACAAACATACTGGGAAAACTCTCTTGCTTTCTGCTGGATTTGGATCCTTCATCTGGCTCATCATGATCTCCAGTTCCTGGATTTGAACCAGTGGCCTGTCGTATTGCCTATCAATTTTGGGATTGTTGCCTTCACAGCCTGTGAGCCAACAATTTGCCATTTTACCTGCAAGTCTTAGATTTGTCAGCCTCAGAAACCAGCAGCCTGCTGCACTGCATGCTGATCTTGGGTCCATCAGCCCCTGCAGCTGCATGAGTCAGGAGAAGCGTCTAGCTTGATATGTGTCCCATGGACTTAGGACTTGCCAGTCTCTACAACTGCATGAGCCATTTCCTTGGGATAAATTTCTCTATATGTAACTATATATAATCTTCATTGGTTTTGGTTCTCTAGAGAACCCAGCCTAAGACAGTGAAGCTAAGACAAATTTTAAAGTTAAATTTCATCTTGAACCTAAATGTAAGAGCTAAAACTACAAAATGCTTATTTAAAAAATCATAAGTGTGGGACTTCCTAACTGGTAAAAGATATAGTGCAGATGGAAGGTGTGTTAGACTGGGTTCTCTAGAGAAACAAAACAAGTAAAGCTTAGAGAGAGAGAGAGAAAGAGAAATTTATCTTAGGAAAATGGCTCACACACTTATAGAAGCTGGCAAGTCCGAAGTTCTTGGATCAAACGTCAAGCTGGAGGCTTTTCCCGACTCACACAGCTGCAGGGGCTGAAGAGAGCTCAAGGTTGGCAGGCAGTATACTGGCTGTTGACTCCAATGAATGATGAATCCAAGATCTCCAGCCCAAATGGTGGATTGTTCGCTCACAGACCGTTGTAGGCAGCACAACAGAATCCCGATCCACAGAGAGTATCTCTTTTCCCAGGATGTCCATAAACATATTGGAAACAGGCCACACCCCTAGGGAAACTCCCTTTCAATGGGTTGGCTCCTCAAAATATATACATCTGATCCCATCATGGGAACAACCCACATCACAACAGCTTAAACCACACAGAACTGTGGTCCAGCCAAGTTGACACACAGCTCCAACTATCATAAGAGGGTAGCACTTCCCTTTTTGGTGCATGGCAGCTCTGTATTGGGAACCCTCCCAGACCTTACCCTGTGTGTCTCTTTTATTTAATGCCCAAACTAGCACACACAGACAGCACATGGAGAGGTTCATGCAGAGAGGAATCAAGACCCCAAGCCAACAGCCAGCATCAAATGTCAGACATAGAGTAAGCAAGGCTTCAGACAATTCCAGTCTTAGGTAGACGACACTGTGTGGAGCGGTTACAAACTATCAGCTCTGTGCCCTGCCCAAAAAGCAGTTTAATGAACACAATAAATATTGTCATTGTTTAAAAAAAAAAAAAAAATAGGTGTAAATCTTTGTAACCTCAGATTAGGCAATGGTTTCTCAGCTATGACAACAAAAATATAAGCCGACAAAGAAGAAATAAATTGGATATCATCAAAATTGAAAAATGTTCACACTTCAAAGGACACTGTCAAGAAAGTGAAAAGATGAGCCACAAATGGGAGAAAACATTTGCAAATTATGTATCTGATAAAGGTCTAGTACCCAGAATGTATTTAAAAAAAAAAAAAAAAAAACTTACACCCCAACAATAAAGAAAACCCAATTAAAAAATGGGCAGATAATTTGAATAGACATTTCTTCAAAGATATACACACAGCCAACAAGCAATATCACTGACATTATTAGTCACTAAACCAAAAAAACCAAACTCACTGCCATCAAGTCAGATCCAACTCATAGTGATCCCTCCTTGGGTTTCCAAGGCGGGATCACTATGGAAAATGGGCAGGTAATTTGAATAGACATTTTTTCCAAAGATATACTAAGAGCCAACAAGCAATATCACTGACATTATTAGTCACTAAACCAAAAAAACCAAACTCACTGCCATCGAGTCAGATCCAACTCATAGTGACCCCTCCTTGGGTTTCCAAGGAGGTATATCACTATGGAAGTAGATTGCCCAATCTTCCCTCCAAGGAGTGGCTGGTAGATTTGAACCGCCAGCCTTCTGGTTAGCAGTCAAATGCCTTAAGCACTACCTACCAGACCTCCTTATTAGTTACTAGGGAGATGCAAATCAAACTCACAAGATAACACTTCACACCTACTATTGTTATTGTTAGGTACTGTTTTGGTCCTCTAGTGCTGCTCTGGGAGCTCTGATAGCATAGTGGCTAAGGTACTTGACTGCTAACCAGAACTGGCGGTTCAAATCCACTAGCCACTCCTCAGAAGGAAGATGGAACAATCTACTTCTGTAGTGATACTGCCACGGAAACCCAAGGAGGGGTCGCTATGAGTCGGGTCCGACTCATCGGCACATAACAACAACAGTGCTGCTCTAACAGAAAAGATCACAAAGTGTGTGGCTTGAACAAACATGGATTTATTCTCCTACAGATTGGGAGGCTAGAAGTCTGAGTTCAAAGTGCCAGTTCTAGAGGCTGGGTGAAGACCCCTTGACCTTGGGCTTCAGCTCTCCCTCTTGCTTCTGGCCTACTGATAATGAAGGCTTCTCTTGACTCAGGCAGCTGCTAGCTGCTGCGACTGACAAACCTAAGGTCAACAAGTAAAATGGCACAGTCCCAAGATTATTAAGCAACATGGCAGGCTACCAGTTCAAGTCCAGAAACAGTCCCAAGACCAGGAGGCAACATGGCAAGCCACTCACTGATGACTCAGCCAAATGCATGATCCAAGCATGCCAAGAAGCTCAAGACCTTTCTCAAAGTGTCTTCTTATATACTGGAAGACCACATCCCTAAGGCTGCTACTCAGCTCCTCATAGCAGTTTTCACCATTGAGTTGATTACCAGTCTCATCACAGGAAATCACAACATCCAGTTGCCCAGCCACTCAAAACCAAGCCCAGGCAAGGTAACACATTAATTACCACAAGTACCTTCAGTTTCCACTCACACTGACCTTATGTACAACAGAATGTAACAATGCCCAGTCTTGTGCCAGCCTCACAACCAGCGCTATGTACAACAGAACATAACACGCCTGCTCTTGCACCATCAGTCTTGCTATGTCTGAGCCCACTGTTGCAGCCACGGTGTCAATCCCTCTCATCGATTCATTCCTCTTTTCTGATGATGCTCTACTTTACCAAGCATGATGTCCTTCTCCAGGGACTGTTCCCTCCTGACAGCATGTCCACAGTACAAGAGATGAAGTCTTGCCCTCCTTGCTTCTAAGTAACATTCTAGCTGCACTTCTTCCAAGACATACTTGGTCATTCTTCTCACAGTCCATCACATATTTAACATACTTTTCTAACACCATAATTCAAAGGCATCAATTCTCTGTCTTCCTTACTCATTGTTTGGTTTTTGCATGCATATGAGACTAAAAATACCATGGCTTGGATCAGGCATACTTCAGTCCTCAAAGTAACATCTTTGCTTTAAAACACTTTAAAGAAGTCTTTTACAGCAGATTTGCCTATCGTTTAATTTCTTGACTGCTGCTTCCAGGGGCACTGATTGTGGTTCCAAGTAAAATGAAATCCTTGACAACTTTAATCTTCTCTCCATTTAT